GAACTCACAACTGCGTCAAGTCACTTTTGGATCACTTAACGCTTTTATGCACTGGAGCGTAAAGTTATGAATATGGGAATATATATATTAAAGTCATAGTTTGTTGTGCCACGGATTCTGCCTCAGCAACGCGACGATAAACAGCAGCAAAGGTTGAATGACTCGGCTGCGTTCGGTCTGGAAACGCAAGCGGATACAATCATACAGCCTCGTGTCCATTATCATTCACGTGGCCGTATGTAAAACTCATATCTGCCTGCTCACGATATAAATATCCTACCATTGTTCAACGGAATACTTCTCAGATAACTCCCTACTACAAACGTTAAATGCTGAAGGCAAACCCAGCCACAATGTAAACGAATGACAAATGTAACCTAATCTACTCAAAAACAGAAGGACTTACGATATATACTGATACCGACTTTTGTCCTTTTTTATGGTGTGCGGAACCTGCTCCAAGGCCTGTAAAAGCATTTTGACACACACACACACTCTCTCATATATATATATATATATATATATATATATATATATATATATATATATATATATATATATGTGTGTGTGTGTGTGTGTGTATTATCAAATGTTTTTGATGGCAATAAAAAACAATTTGTGTCAATATATTTTAATGATTAATTTTCTCTATTACGAATAATCGCTTCTTACATAAACACTCAAAATACAATCCTAATAAAAAAATAATAATAATGCGTCACACCTCGCCTATATTGCAATATTCTTTGCCTACGTCACAGCACTCACAAGTTCTACGAAATCACCTGTACCTACTCTGATGACTTAATATGATAATGTCGAAAGATTGTACCATATTTCTAGTAATTTTCTTCCCAAAATGAAATTCATGACAATTTCTGGAGGACATTAGTCCTTGTCTGAGAAAGATTTGTATATTGTTAAAGTGGATCATTGAAAGAATTTTTAAGACTCGACACAAAATATCTTGTTTTTAATATATATATATATATATATATATATATATATATATTGTATAAAATTTATTTTATTTATATGCCAAGCATATACTGATAAAAACTCAGTCACAATTATATGTTAAATGAAATGCCACATCTAAATCTAGACCCAAGAAACTTTATTCCAAATATGAACACTTTGTAGTAAAGAAAACTATACAAAATAATAAATTAATAAAAAACGCGTAAATAAATAAATAAGCTTGATCCCATATTTTATTTGTCATGACCATAAAGAACAGTAAGAACTGGTTTCCTACTTTGTATAATTCCGCAGTGACAGATATAGTGATTCCGTTAAAATTGTAGTGGCAAAGGCATAGTCTGAAGATCACATTGAGGCGCAAAACCATGAAGTGTTTATGCTTATGTTTAATCTATCTATCTATCTAAATTTTTGAAGGTGGTGAGGCATATTAACTTACACTAAACGTGATTGTATAGAATATTACTCCGGATCAAAAAATGTTTTTTGAGCTTCTCACTAACATCGTATACAAGCTGATATCCACACTCATCTTTTCATTTTTACCTTTATATACACATACACATACACATGCAATCCTATAATCACACACACACACACACACATATATATATATATATATATATATATATATATATATATATATACTGAGAGAGAGAGAGAGGAAGAGAGAGATGGGCAAGGAAACATCTAGCTATAGCCGTTTTGACACATGTTCGAGCGAGATTTACAAAGCATGTTGCTATTCCTTTGAAAAAAGTTCTTTGATAACTTCTGAAGCTTTCTAACCCTATTCATTCTTCATCAATCAACGTCTGACTTGGGATCAAACCGGATGCAGTCATTTTCCTAAGATAAATCAGATATTTTCTCAAAGAGATTTTAAATAAATATCTTTGAGAAAAGGAAAGCATAAAAAAACACACACACACATTGCACTTAATTCTACATTTAGGAATCCCGAACAATTATCTCCAGGATAACGAAGACGGTAAGCGATTAGGGTCGTAGGGGTATCAGATGTACTCCAGCCGTTGCAAGAATGGGTGTGTCTAGGACAAGATAACCTGACAGAGCCCATCTCTTTTCAGGTTGGTTTTGAAATCAGTGTTCACCTTTTTTTAGATTGGTTGACTCCCGAAGAACCCAGTCTGTCTTCAAATTTAATCAATAGACAAGGGTAAATAATCGGTTTCATACCAATCCCAAAGTTATTTGTGCAAAATTGAATGCAACAGAATTGCTCGGAATTTTTCTCATTTTAAATTAACTTAGATAATACTGAGATAAAAAGAACATTTATGTTATCCAAAGATAGTAAATAGGATCCAAAGCCAATCATTTGGCATCTTTAAATTGTATTTATCAAAACCAATATTTAGCCGCTGACAAATTTTCTTGAATGAGTTAGAATTATAAAACTGAAAAGGAAGAAAATAAACAAGAAATAAAGGGTTTATCTGTTTATCTTTCAGTTGAGTTAGTTTCATATATCCTACTAATGTTCAAACAAATAAAAAGCTTCGACTTTAGGCATTTTTCTTTAGACATATCTAATTTTTTAATCATTTCAGCCCAAGGAAGGTAATAAAGCAACTAGGATGAAAGAGTCTACCGAATGTGACAGAATAAGAGGAAAAGAAAATATTATTAAGGAGAGAAAACAATAACAGAACAAGAATTAAGAAGACAGAAAATAACGATTTCAAAGATGACTGGATGGCAAGAAGTCGAAAGAAAATTCTACAAGCGAGAAGTGGGATACAAGAAACTGTTAACGTAAAACTTACGGCTAATTTAGCAATTTCAACTATAAAATGATGAGACATTGCCGCTAAATTTGTAGTACGATTACATTCATAAAATCTAGGTACCAAAGAGGGAAGCCCATCAGAACAATTGGTATGGAAATATTTATAGAAAAAACAACAAAAGAAGCCTGTGTTGTAGCCACATTAAATACACCAATTCATTCACTAGCTCCGACACTGGCACTATTTTCAAAAGCTACCACAACTCTAACTGCAGAAGTCATGACATAATCTACTCATTAGAAAGCGCACTATGCCAGAAACAATATATGGGAAAATCTGTGTGGCCCTTTCACTACAGAATTAATAATTATTGGAATCGGATTAAGTCAGCTCTCCAGGAAAGCCTTATGAGAACATTTCCGCCTAGAAAAAAACATGGTTTTAATATAAATGCAAAATTCACTATTATTGAAATAATAAAGATATACACAAAAGACAAACTTAGGAAAATACTAGAAGAACATGAAGACAAATGGATTTTGTGCATCAAAACACTTTGTCCAGATGGACTTAACAACAGACTAAACAGCAAATATATTATTAATATATAATCCCATAGATACAACACCTACTCATATTTCAAAATCACGCTAAACAGACATGCTTGTAGAGGTGTTGAAGTTTCTCACATACATACACTCCCACAAATATATACACATACACCCCTCTCCCAATAAATAAAAGATAACATACCCATAACACAATCCCCTTTTCAGAAACCAAGAAAGCTGTCAGAATGACTAAGAAGTTAAATCTGAAGCATAAATTTCCCAAACTCTCCATAAAAGAACTCGAAAGTGGCCTTTTGACCAATACAAGTACCGACCAAAATTAACGATAAAAAACAAATCAAAACTACAGACAAAGTTCACTTTCTTCAGAGACAGTCATTCACCCCTGTAGTTCACTGCTACGAACAAGCAGGATTTTTTTTCCTGATGATGGCTATGCTGGCGAAAACTAGATGAGGAACCTAATTTAAATAATAAAACAAAATGTTAATATACAACCAAGGGTGTTTGAAACTTTAACTTTTTAACCTTTTTTTTATTGCTGCACACACGCACACGCACGAACACACACACACACATAGATAATTATATATATATATGCTGTGTACAAAGGATATTTTCCTCAGTTTTGAATTCCTCTCTTGGCAAAAATTCCTCCTCTTAATTTTGAAATTCCTCCCTTGGGCGCCAACTGCCTCACGCTTGAGAATTTTCAACTTGGATAACGAATCCATAAATGATTAAGACACTTAAATTTGTATTATTAAAGTATGTGGTTTACTTAGATGTTCTCTTGCTAATTTACAATGATAGCCAATGAAATACCGATACTAATTAAATATTCAGACGTTTTTCTAAAGAGCCGAACTGTGTGATGATGTGTAATTAATAGGATGAATTACTATGTGTGATTAGGATGTGCTGGCTTGATGGCTTTTATGCCATATGAACACTTTTCGGGTTATTCAATTTAAAATCAGGTTTTTATTATACTCAGGTGCATAGGCAAATATTGGTTGTTTATTTATTTTTGAAACTGTAAACAAACATTGGTCATTTATTTATATTTGAGTCTACATGCAAACATTAGTCTGTTGAACTTCAATTTAGTTGAGTTCTTCAAATCAAAAACTTCAAAACCTCACGTCACGAAAACTCTCAATTTAACTCTGATTCCTTGGCATTAACTGTTAAATCATTCTCGAATTGCCTCCATTAAAAATCGAATTGCCCCCACCTTCTGTAGGGCGTGCACTCTATGTTGGGAAACCCGGATCTAGAGTTATATACAATTTGTTAAAGTTCAGAGAAAGCAGAGAAAAGGTCTGATTTATAATCTTATCTCTTGAGGAGAAAAGGATAACACTTCCTCTCGCTTTGTTTCCTCTGCTTTCATTTTGAGGTAAACTGTACAAGCGAATAAAAAAAGTGAGCTAGATTTTTACTTTTCTCACTAAATTTCGAATTATCTGTTGAAAAAAAAAAGAACCATTTATACGCTTTTCAATCTCAACTGAACTTCAGTAGAGATATACCGCATTATCCCATTTGATTTTGATCTTATTTGATTTTGATCTTATTTGATTTTGAAGACATGACTTTTAATGTTTGTTCACTGTTATACACCTGCTGATGGGATAACCTTCTGAGGAGTTATTCTAAGGTTCATATCCCTTTTAAATGGTTTTATGACCACATTACGTTGAAACACAGGTTCCCGTACGATCACCGAACTTAAGCAACGTCGAGCATGGTCAGTACCTAAATGGCTGACCACTTAGGAATACAAGGTGCTGCAAGCTTGGATGTAACATAATTAGTAAAATTTGTATCACTAAAGATTTATTAATTCCCACTATGAAAATAGTCTTACAATCTAAAAATACTTTGTGGCATTAAATAACCTTGAAAAGATTGATAAGCCGTAGAAAATGAATCAATAAATAAAAAAAACAAATTTTCAGATGACGGTTAAATTTGTACTTGCCGTATTTACTGGAAGTTAAAATAATGATCATACTAGATGAAGTAAACCTTACTCGTCAACCTAGAAATCAGGAGAGCAGAACTTCTTGAGTTAGAGTCATTGTGCCTAAGCGGGATGCTCATGAATCGACACATGCTTTCATAAATGTGAGGTTTTAAAGAGTTGGGTGTTGTCAAGTCGGCTCTGAGGTGAGTAAACATCTCCTATCTCTGTTGTTTACGAAACTTAGCTTAGTTTAGTACAAGTATGGGAAGTGCGTTGAGGATCGAACTCACAAATCCATCGGGAAGATCGACCAAATTCGCTCGTTGAATATTATCTCATTCTGAAGAAGGCTAAAATGTCCTACAACGACTGATTGTATAAGCAATAATAATAAGTAAAATAATAATTTTTTTTTCTTCTAATATATACTTAAAATTATCACAGAAGGAGAGTGGGAATCTTTTATATCAACGTAAAATATATGGATTAAATAGCGGAGGTGGATTGGGCGCTCTAGTCTTGGGTGGCAGTCTGTCTAAGTGTCTATCTTTCACAAGAAGTCATAGCAATTCCCACATATTAAAGGAAGGTGTGGAGAGTTATGATCAGTACCGTCCCGAAGTGACACACACACACACACACACACACACACACATATATATATATATATATATATATATATGGGAGCTGTCTAAAATTTGCTATATTTATAAGGAAAGATATCTCATTATCGAGTATATATCATTTATAGATACAGACTGTATGGACATAGGTATTAACTCTGCATGTTGACTGTTAATTTCATGCATAGTTGATTCCTTTTCCCCTCTCTCTCTACACATACCCCCACACACACGCCCCCCCCCCCATATATATATATATATATATATATATATATATGTGTGTGTGTGCGTGTGTGTGTGTATACACATGTAATTGAGCTCACTTATAATCATACATTCAGTTATACAAGTTTGGTTGAAGTTCATCGAAAGTTTTTAAGAATTTTTGTTCATTTTTTCTAATGGTTTGGCTAAAATGTTTGTTCGATTATTAAGTAGAAAATTTAGTTAATAAACAGAGCAAACTTTTGGGCCAAGCCAATATATTTCGGACCATTTTCTTGCTTTCTGCTGAAATTTTAAATATAAATTATTTACAATATACGTTCAGTTTTCCTAAGCTATTATGATAGACTTTTTTTTTGCTATGTCAGTTTCATCATTTTGTAAATCTCGCGTCTTCATGTGTCATATAGGTTTTTAGGAAATATCGCATCTTCACGGAACAATTTTTTTTTTTTAATTAATGAAATATATTTAGTAAGTTTGTGTGGGGAAAATTGTGAAAACAGCTTACCTCGGAAACGCCCACAAATCTGAGGGTCGTGCAAAATCCAGCTGCTCAGCGGAGGGGAAACAAAATGACGGTGCCCATGTTTTATGCCAGGCGGTCTCGGGCAGTTAACGCGAAATCTCGTTTTCTCGTCATTCGCATGCAAATTGTGGTCGGTCCTCGCTTGTATAAAGCAAGCCGTTTATTTTTTAGAACAGAGAGGCTAGTTTCCTTTCTTTGCTCGGTTTTCATTTGATTTCCTACCACAGTTTGTTAATAAATTTGATTTTTTTTTAATGATAGTTGACTTGTGAATTGATTTTTCTATTTTATTTTTGGTTTGGGCTCTTTTGTGTTATATAATATTCATAAACTGCAAACACAAATGCAAATTCCGGTCACATTTATGTCAGGGAGTACATGTTGATTTCCTTATTTGTGCGGTGCATGCATGTGTTTCTTCAATTTTATGGGAAAAATGTGTCCGTGTACATCTTTAATACATTAATAGCCGCAGCCAAATTCCGGTGTATTAACCCAGATTAACTTTCGCCATGAATACACACCCGTGTATACAATAGCTTAATAAAGAATAACCTCTTGGTATGTAACTGGGGATAGTCTACTACATACCTCTGGTTATAAAATAACCTAGTACCACGCCGAAGGCAGGATACTAACTTTTAGTATCAACAACATTTTCTTCAGTAGAATATTATGTGAGGACACGAATCTACAAACTGGTAATAATGGCTGATATTAGTGTTATGAATAATAAAGAGTGGTCCCCACTTATTTTGTTACTCATCTCTGTGAGAGAGCTATTTCTGTTTATTGGGACTATAAAAGGACACTATACCCGAACCTTGTATTCTCAGTTGAATAAAGCTTTCTTGAAAGTTACACCTGCGTACTTTTGTCATTATAATTACCTTATTCAATAGCAACCCGATATATATTTATCTAAAAAGAAATTAATCTTCTTTAATTAATATAGCTGTTGGGGCCACGCACAAATCAAGGTCAATAAAAACTGACCACTTTTCAATAATTTTGACCCAAATCTTTTGACATTCAGAATTTAGGCCTACTCATGTGCAAACCAAGTATAAGGAATAAAACAGATGGCTATAGAATGTATACAAGATATTTCTGAGAACGTGGGACACTCCATGGTCCATAGTAGTGATTCACTACGCATAGCTTAGACGTGGCACAGGGTCAAAAGCATGGAGAACACAGTGAGAAACGAACTTATTACCCAGTTGTAATTAATCTAGCGAGACAAACTTGATAACCATTCATCACCTCGAAGTGCGCTTCGACCAAGTTCGGATATAATCGAGCCGAGTCCATTTGGCTATAAACTGGTGTGGCCTAACTTATACACTGGATAGAAGCTTCGTCAAGAACGGTGGTTCTCAACCGGGGTCCATATGTATCCTGGGCGGGGGGTCCATGTAACATTACTGAGGGTCCACAGAGAGAAATAGGAAATTAGGGGTCCACACAAAGAAATAACAAATTTGGGATCCCAATAAATATTTTAGTCGTTCATAACGCAATTTCACGTTGGAACGGTTTCTTCAACTGAAAATAGGTATTTCTACAATAATCTACGCCATACGAAAATACTAAAAATATAAAAAAACTATTCTAAAATTAGCAGAAAACGAGATCAAGCGATGCAAGTTAGCGTCCTTTTTACTCTACCGTATGAAAAACTTTGAAACAAACTTTTAAATGAACGTTTCATTCATAAATTAGCTTGTTATAATTAAGGAAAGTTTTACAAATAGATGCCAACTTACTGAAGGCCAAGTAAAATGCAAATTTCAAACATTTTTCTGTACTATATAAGAAGATATTCCTAAACAGAACTATTTTTGATAGGAAAATCAAAACAAACCTCTAATAAAAGAACAGTAATGAGGACAGTTAACTAATGAAATAATCTTTTAAAATCAATATACAATTTAGTTAAACCTGAAGAATGATATTGCCTAGAAGTAGATAATATATATAATACAGATATTGAACATTTAGCGTGTAAATTACTATGAAGTAGAGCTTTTTAATCTCAGAATTCGTGGGAGAATTGAGCTCCAATTTCGTATTTATCCATATTGATTCCATAATATAGGTTTTACTTCATTAGTTATTATGTTTCTCTAACTCTTCAAATGTTGAATGTATAACTAATTCTAATTTCTATTTTCCCATTTTTACACTATATTGATTTTATCTTATAAATTGTCTCCTATTCTGTCACCTATGAAATAAAAATAATTGTTTGTAGGGAAAATAAGGATCTACATACATTAAACCGTATTTAAATTAAGTGACAGCAGAAGAATTATCGCGAACTTTTAAGAGGTAAGCTTAAACATTAATTCAATACTTAAATGCGCGTCAATTTTGAGTTCTGTAGTTTATTGATGCCTATCGCATCTACTTCTCCCCAGCTATTGTGATGATGATCAAACAAAGAGTCCTCCAATGAAACTAGCTTAAATGCCACCCGATAGGCATTTCTGTGATAGAATTCCTGAACTTATCTATTAGTAAAAAAATAACATAAGCTTTTTTTTCATCAAATGGATATGAGGGTCCGCCAAAAAAAATCAAGAGTCAAAGTGGTCCATGGATAAAACAATGTTCTGCCTCAAGTTCGGGAGGTCATTAGGGTGGCATTCTGTCAATATAGGTGGTTGCTGGGCGACCAACCAGTCTTGCTCCATGGCTAGATGTCCATAGAGCTGTGATTTAGTTGGTTGTTGACCCCAAGAGATGTTAAGTATAGCTCTCAGCATCCGAGTGTAGGTTCCATCAAGTTTAGACTCTACATCACCCACACGGAGCGTAATACGCATGGAGATAAAAAAATATAAAATACTACCTGTGGTTTTCCGTTTTTCTCACTTCTTTAGGGGGAAACGAAACCTTAACAAAGTTAAAACTTTATATATTCGTCTCTTTTCTTTTTCATTCTATTTTTTTCTTTTCTTCCATCACAAATAGATAATTGCTAATGCCAACTCTCGTTGACGTAAATTTGCTTCTACGATAATATTAAATCCAATGGAGTTAAGAGAAGCTAATGAAACCCCGAGAAACCTATGTTACCCAACATTACTCAGTGGGTCTTTTAGTCATCATATACTTGCGAGCTTATTAGGGCACTTCGTCGTGGTGTAATGGTTAGCAAGCTTGTCTCGTAAGAACCATTAGTAGTGAGTTCAATTGTCACTGGATGCTCCTTGCTTTAGGCCTGTGCCACATCTAAATTCTACTTGAGCATCTTCTTACCATGAACCACTGCTCTGTGGAACAGACTCCCAATCTTAACCTGTTCAAGTCTAGAGCTAACCATTATCTCCCTCACTTATCCTAGTAAATTGTTACTCTTACTCTGTAGCCCTCTATCTCTAGTTGCTTCAACAGACTTGTACAGGGTGAAAATCATTGAAAAAAAAAAAAAAAAAAAAGGTTA